ACTACGCTTGTTGCAGAACAATAAAAACACTACACTCAACAAGCCACCAATAAAACTCAACTGCCTAACCTATAATCAAAGTCTCCTTTTAATTTGTTTTTCAAAAAAAGCGCTTGACAAACTTGCCCCGCATGCCGAAGTTGCCCCGGTCTCCCCTATTCATATAACGTCGGACCACTATTCATATAATATTCATAAAATTCATTGCGAAAGAAGTGTAATGGTTTAGAAATTAAAAGCAGTTTTCTACAGTCTATCTTCGAGGAAAAAATATTAAAATGAAACGAAACTAGAATATTCTAAGGCGAAAAAACAGAAAAAGTGTTGTGTAAAAGTAATACTTACGCCTTTGACGCTTGTAATAAAACAGAAACCACAATTGAAAGGCGGTGTGTGAGTTCCGATGCTAATAGTTACATAAGTGTCTAAGGATTTAGACCAGTAATTCCCAAAATAGGCGCACCGACCCTTTGAGCGTGTAGAAGACTCAAGAGGGACAAGGAAGGGAAGAACGGGAAAGGTTTGGGAAACACTGCTCTATGCAATTATCTGATATTTTTGAGTGAAGCAGAAATTTATGCAGAATTTCGTCTTACGCGACCTCGCATAAAATCAGACCATACTGAATCTTTAATAAAATTTACTTTACAATTTTTAATTCGTTTTCATTTTTACATGGATCTAAGTATTTTTTAAATTACACTTTATAAGATATATTAATTTCGTTTTAAATTTTTATGTAGGATATAGAAAAGATAAATAATAAAGTAATCGAAGAAAGTGGTAGTTATGAATATTATGACTATTATGGTAATACTTCATATGAATATTACAGTTCAGAATCTAATGAAAGTTACACTAATGAATCATACGTGTACCATCTTGAATATTATTTTAACATTAGTGAAGCAAAGAAGTTACAGCAACGAATTATGTGATATTGTAATGAAAAGGATTAAGAATATGAAATCAATCTGTCGGAGAAAACAGCTAAGTTCGTGTAGAGGGTCGTATGTTCTACAATAGTCTAATTGAATTTTATGCACATGAAATAACAACGTTTAATAACACAAGACAATGTTTTTCACATTTTGTATTTTAAAGTACTAAATGAAAAATTTTGTTGTCTTTATTTTGATCTACAAATCCAAGTTTATCATGTAAAATTCTAGAACAAAAATTATAAATTTTTATTAAATATTTATTCAAAATGTTATAGTACTAATTTATTTTCACTTTAAAAAGAAGTTTCAGTAACAGGAATGTCATCTACAAATAAATTCTTAAATTGTTATAAAAATTAAATCAGATAAACGATAGTAGAAACAGAAACAAAATTTGCAAGATTAAAGATTGTTAAACAATTTAAATAGTTTTTTTATATATAAAGATTATTTTTTCATTTTATCTATAACAATTAATGAACCAGCTAAACTAAACAGATAACAACTAAGATCAATTGATTGAAAATCTTAACAATCAATATACAGTAAAACCTATGTTAATCGAAATCGCACACTATGAAATTTGTTCCCGTTTTTGTACGTTTCCGTTTAAAACAAGTTTTAGTATTCTTTCCCACTTTAAACTAGGCTTACGTAAGACAAATGCCACTTCATTTACGTTCGATTTTATAGTATAATCACTATTATTACATAAGAAATATTTCAATACTCGGTTTTAACTAATCCAAAGCGATTTCAGCCAAAAATGGTGTGTATTCGAATGTAAAAGTTTAGAAGCATTCAATTCTAAAAAGTTATCCAGAGTTCTCCTTTTCTAGGTATTCCTCGGACTTATTCTTCCACAATTCGAAAACCAAGTACCACCAGTGACCAAGCAGTTTCGTTCTCTGAACCCTGAAACTTCGGTCGCGGGTTCGCGCCTCCCAGGACGGGCTAGTAACGCCTAAATAGAGGCCAGTTACCCTTAAAAACACCTCCCGGAAGGCATTCTCCCTAGGCAGATCGCCCAAGTGTCGCATTGCCGTAACTTAACTAAACAAACAAACATCGAGTTCCAAGAAGTAGTGTCTCGTTCTACCATCGGAAATTCTAATCGCTTTACAGTAATATAGAAACCATGTTATTCTATGATCCGACTTTTATCTAGCGATTTTAATACTCTAAATTTGTGGTATCCCACAAGTTAATTCGGCCCACAAATATATTTGATACATCACTTACAGATGGTAAAAATACGCTTAACTTTTGTATGTATGGAATATACAAAAATATTTGTAACCCNAATGCCACTTCATTTACGTTCGATTTTATAGTATAATCACTATTATTACATAAGAAATATTTCAATACTCGGTTTTAACTAATCCAAAGCGATTTCAGCCAAAAATGGTGTGTATTCGAATGTAAAAGTTTAGAAGCATTCAATTCTAAAAAGTTATCCAGAGTTCTCCTTTTCTAGGTATTCCTCGGACTTATTCTTCCACAATTCGAAAACCAAGTACCACCAGTGACCAAGCAGTTTCGTTCTCTGAACCCTGAAACTTCGGTCGCGGGTTCGCGCCTCCCAGGACGGGCTAGTAACGCCTAAATAGAGGCCAGTTACCCTTAAAAACACCTCCCGGAAGGCATTCTCCCTAGGCAGATCGCCCAAGTGTCGCATTGCCGTAACTTAACTAAACAAACAAACATCGAGTTCCAAGAAGTAGTGTCTCGTTCTACCATCGGAAATTCTAATCGCTTTACAGTAATATAGAAACCATGTTATTCTATGATCCGACTTTTATCTAGCGATTTTAATACTCTAAATTTGTGGTATCCCACAAGTTAATTCGGCCCACAAATATATTTGATACATCACTTACAGATGGTAAAAATACGCTTAACTTTTGTATGTATGGAATATACAAAAATATTTGTAACCCGCCTACTTAAGAATTTTGGGCACCTCTGCTGTATAGGTAGGAACACACTAGACGTAGGAATAATTCTTCAGATAATTTTAGAGTAAATATAAACCTACCTTAAATTTTTATAATATGATTTTTATTTTGATTATTAAATAACAGATGGCGACACGAATTAAACAATAATTAAATAAATATTCGACTTATATTATTATATACTTATAAAAAAAAGTATAAACAATGAATGATAAATCTTATAAAATAATTAGAATGAAACGAATATTCATAATCATATTATATTACTATTGTCAGTTATTTCTTGTTTATCACGTTTTCTAATTGTTTTAATTCGATTCGAAGAATTTATTTTAAATATTTTAATTTGTTATTATTCAGTATTGTTATTTTTATGATATAACAAATAACTTCGTCTTAGTTTAGAGGATTTTTAATAGCGAAGTATGCTCGTAAATCAGAGTAGCACGGTATATAATGCATGCGGAGATTCTTCTTAATTAAAATATGTTAAATAATAATAAACTCTGAAAACAGAAACACAATGCACCTTTATTAGAAAGGAAATAAGTGTTTTATCTAAAATAATTTTTATTGTAAAGTTTTTAATTTTCATAAGAGATGATGCACAATGATCGACGTGGTAATAAAAAGCCTACTCTTATACCTATTCGACACGTTCTTTATTTACCAAATAATTTTTTTACAGTAAATAATATGCTGTTGGATCAATGTATTATTAATTTATATATGTAGCATTCCATATTACTAAAATATTATCAGAGAAAAACTAAATTCATTGTCTATTCAAAATTTTCATGTACAGTATAGAGGAATTTATTCCATTAGCAAAGCATTTAATTTAAAAAAAAAAGCAATATTTTTGAATAGCTTAATATGTTTTCCTGCATTCTCATTCCTTCCACAGATCCATGACGTCGCTATTACGTGTTTTCATTTTTATTTTTTCTTGAAATATTCTTTCTTGTTCGGGAGTGAAATGATTTTTCCAATCTCCAATACTTCCTTTTCTAATAAATTCTCCTTTCATGCTTTTGTTCCCGCTTTCGTCGTGCAAATTTGTATAGAAAGCCTTTAATCCCGACGAAATAGGCTTCCCTTGTTTGATGTGTTCTGAAAGTTTTTGTACGAAGCATTTATAATTCGAATGAGTTTTCATGTAATCTAAGCTGCTGTAATATAAAATATCGTCGAGTAATTTCGGATCATTCTCTAATTTTTCTCTGTGCTTTTTATCAATAAATGCTGCAATGTTTAAGACTTCTTCTTTAGTATTCTTTTTAATTCTCTCAAAAGTGGTAAAATATATATTGTCATCGTGTCTCCTATTATACCAAGGAAGCAAATGATCGAAGTAATCGCCGTAATCTACATTTCCTTCGATAAATAATTGAAAAAATTCATCAAAAGTACCATCTTCAAACTTATAAAACAGAAGATTCTTAGTGTGATAATATAACGAAACGCAACAATCCTTAGGATTTCGAGCAACAAAGATGTACTTCGCTTTTGGATTCATTTTCATTTTTTCCACAGGAAGATGTGTTTTAATAACTCCCGGACCGGGCATGAGATCAATAGCATCTGCTCCACACATTTCTATCGATGGACTTCTTAAAAAAAACTCCAATGGATCATTTATGGGTTTTCCGTCTTGTAAAATTAACATAACGATATGTTGCATCCACGTGGTACCACATTTCGGATAAGTTGTAATGAAAAGATCGCCTGGACGATGACTGTAATGTATTGCTGATCGAACGGCCTCTTCGGATAACACCGCTGGCACTATTACACCTTCGCAGTTCATATACAATGGTTTTTTTCGTTCTTCCGCATCTTTGACCGAATTTTCCCTGTCAAAGTATTTTAAAAACACGAAAAATTACATTATGCAGCAGTAATTATTATATTAATAAAGGCTATTGTATATATATCTAATGTTATCTAAGTTATCAAGTTCGTAGATTCAAGGCTATCTTTCAGCAAAGGAGACTGAATATATTACTTCCTGAATCCAAAGTACAGTACACGAATAGTAGATAACCATATAATAATAATAATAATAATTCAATAAAATATTTTATTAAATAAATTAATCATTTAGAATTCTATTATTAATAATTAATACGTCAAAATTAATTTTAATGTATAATAAATTTCTTTCTAACAATTCTTGAATTTTATCTTGATCGGTACCAAAAAATCCATTGAAAACTAAACAAAGAAACTAAAACGTCTCAAGAGACTGTGAGTTTAGATATGTTTTGCTGCATTAATTTACAAAACAAATTTTAACGTGATTTTTCTCAGATTTATCAATAACTATAAATACATCTATCTCATGTATCAAAAATCAAATAAATGAGTCAGCAGGTGTAAATTCTTAGCATTATCTAAATGTGATCTATTTAAAAAAACGTACAATAGAAAGAAACTCGATTATCCGAAATAAGTTTAATTGGGAAGTAACATACCACACAGAGACTAACTCTCTATGTAATTAGAAATCACGACGTTATCTTTAACACAGCCTATCTGTATGTGCAGGCTCTCTAGTCATTTGTCGATTGTAGCGCCGCGAAACTAGATCATACACGTTACATTACGTTATGTTTTAAGTAAACTTATTAACTTGAAAATGCAGTAATTGAATTACAGTAATTATAATTTAAATGCACCCAAAACAAACAAACAAATTTCTGAATTATCATAAAGACCCTTGATCCCATCAAGTTCGGATAATCGAGTTTCCACTGTATTTATATAAACTTTTACTCCTAGTTTTTTTATCGTATTCGAGAACGCGCTTAACAGTTAAAATCGATATAAAGACTATTAGAAATTTTTACACAATTATATTTTATATAGATTTATAATTGTATAGAAGTTCTATACATTTATAAATCTATATAAAATATAATTATAACAATAGAAAGGATATAAAAAAACACTTCTTATGATATTATAGTCTATAAATTATTACTTTATATATATTTTCAAATTATAAATAAAGAGTTAACTTACATGATGTTATGACGAGTAAATATTGGTAAATGATTGTTTCTTAGTTCAATATATCTCGTGTAAATATCTAAAAAACAGCTAAATTACGAAATCCGATAAAGGAATTTTTATTTATCATATGTACTAAATAATGATTACATTGTTTATTGAATGTCAATGTACAGAAATTTTAAATTATTTAATTTTGATTAGATAGCAACTGAATTTTTCTCTTATACGTAATAATTTAAATTAATATTTAATTCAGTACTGTATAATAATTAGTATAATTAAATATTTGTTTATTTATTTATTAAATTTTTGTGTTTAATTATAGGAAAATCTCGTAAAGTCTCCATATGAAAACAAAAGATACATTTTATAATGCTGTTATTTATGTGAGTGCTATTTAATTTAATGTACTGTACGGGGTATATACATGTTGATTGTAACTTATTCATGTCCCGGTAATCAAATTCTGTAATCGTTTATAAAATTGGTGATTAACAGAATGTCTGGGTGTACTGAATTTACATTGAATCTATGATGTTTTTCTATAAAATCAGTACTTTTTCTATAGGAGATCCAAAAAACTTCGCCTTTAGTTGCCTCTATATTGCAAAATCTAGGGGTTTTAAATGGGGGCCCTATAGAGACCATTCGATACGTCTCTCGCCTTTTCCAGTGCCTCCAATAATTTATCAAACTGGAATCAAATATCATGTTTATTACTTTGCATATAATAAGTGCGTACTATCCAAATATCAAACTCTAGAAGGCAACTTATTTCTAATAAACTGCTCAAAATTATAGTGTTTTTCCGCCAGGACATACATACTGTACTTGAAAATGCATTTTTACCTTAATGGTAAGAGCTTGTTAAAACGTTTGATATTGTGTACACAGGCCTCACCAGCGTTCCTTCGTTTGTCTGTTTTGTATCGCCACTTTAGAATCATTCCGAATCTTCTAATTTATGATTTAAAGTAGGTCATTAGAGAATTAGTGAGCGATGATGTGTAACACGAATGAGGAAAATTTCTTCAGTTTATTTTATTTTATATTAATCTGTTAAACTTTCTTAAAAGATTTATTTGTAAATTTAAACTTAAAAAGTGTAAAGTAAAAAAAACATGCGACAGTTATCTTAAAACGTCATTATGAAAAATGATGATTAAAATAATTACTATAATAACTACGGGGAGAGGGTGGAAAATATCGTCTGCACCGTTCTCTATGTACAATATTGTACATGATGATCTGAAATTGGTAACTCGTTAAAAACCAGAATTTACAAACTGACCACAAGGCACAAAAAGAACTCAAAAGCAATTCCAGAAATCTCTATGAGAACCATCTCGCTGGATGGAGGAGCGAATACGTTGTCACATGATGAGGGCTGGATCTACCCGAGTTGCACCAACGAGGATAGAAAGAATATTTTGTGTAAAAGAAGGAGAAAGTGTGCTGAACGAATGGATTGTTTGCAAACTAGGAAAGTTTCGAAAAAGTCATCGTGGCGATCAGAAATTTGACTGAATTAGGAACAATTCCTCTCTTCACGGTTTCACCAAACACCAAGGTAAATGCCCAAGTTTATATTGACAACATTCTGAAACCAATTGTTGACATCTATGTTTTCAAAATAGATCCTGGTAAGCTGAACAAAGTGATTTTCCATCATATCGTAGCTTCCTACATACCGCAACATTAACACAGCAATATTTCCAATACGATCGTAAGATATTCAGGATTACATTTATTACCAACAAATAAATTTTAGTGAAGTCCTTGGCACAAGGTTCGACTACCTGACGCAGAAACTGTTTCTGAGTAAAGCCCGTACAATGAAAGGTCTATGAAAATTGAAATTTTCCTTGATAAGTACAAGCAGATTTTACAGGCATGAAAAACAAGATTGCACCTTTTGGTTAGAGACATAGAGAACATAATGAATCAACAGCTGCAGACAAAAAGTAGGCCTGTAGTTCCTATCACAAAAGTCAGTCATGCAAAGGTGAACACTGTCCGTACATTTCTTTGACTAAAATATTCAAAAATTTACTAAAATGTAATGCTATTTATAGAACTTTCATGTTGTGTAAATTAGATACGCAGCAATCTTTTGGATTTCTGTATGCTTCAGTTTAGTTCAATAGTATATAGAATGAAAAAGTGAGTCCTCAATGCAACCGTCTTTGGCGTAAAATCTGAGCAATTTGTTCCAGTTATCTCAAAATAAGGATAACTTAGAAAAAATGTAGTGGACTATATACTTGATCTTTTCGTAATATTGATAAGACTATATAATGCATCCATGTCGTTCAAGATCTTAAATCTTTAGCTTGCAACTAACAGTTTCTTTTTGCTAAACAACTGAGAACAATATTAGATTTTTTCCATCACTATAATAAATGAAAATGGTGTTTATGTATCTCAACTCAAAAATATCATTCATGTATTAGTTATAACATAATACTATGTTAATAAATAATGATATGAAGAAAACACAGTATAAACAAATTAAAAAAACGAAATGATAGCATGATTAATTTTAAATTTAACATATGAGGTATTTATCAAAATTCCCTCGATGACATTCACAATGTCAAAATTTCAGCTATTGATTTCGTGTTATCTATCTACTTGAAATATGTACTGACTGTACTTTACAACATTAGGATTATGGAATGATATCTACAATGGATTTTGAATGTAAAATATTTCGGTGATGGTACAATATGTAATAGTTCTAATTATTCTAGTGTTTAAACTTGCCTATGAATTTTATCATGTTTATACACACGTGATACAAACTAGACAAAAATTGCTATATTAGCAGTTTAATGATTCCTAGATACTACACGTTCATAATTAGTGACTGGATATGAAAATTAGAACGATAAAAATGCTTATATTGCCGATAGGTAAAAACAAGCCGTAAGAGAAGAGCCCTTTGACGACAAACGGTTAATTAAAATACACTGTAAGGTAATCGACACAGAATAACAAGCGATAGTAAAAAACAATATTAGATAACATAAGATAAGAAGATTACTTTTGAATACATCGAAAATAAGATTAAACATGAACTCATGCATTGTATTATACAGCGACGTTTCTAACAATTTTTTGGGATCTAGAATTCGATTTTCGAAAATTCGAGCAGTACGTTATTGAAGAATTAAATAGCATTTAAACACAAAAGAACTGGATCTATCTACTTCCGTTTTCGAGAATTTTTTGAAAAGGATTGCTCATAGAAAAAGCATTATATTTTTAATTCCCTCTGCTGGAGACCGTATGCATAACCACACAGGATACAATCATCCTAAAAATAGAAGTTTTAGAAAAACGTGAAATGTCAAAAATATCAATTTTGCTGTTATATTTATAATAAATTTGATTAGAAGAAAATAGCGATATTTTTAAAATGACATGATTTTTCCCACGTTTTTTCATTCAAATGTAATACAATACTGCACCATATACTCTGCAAGCTTGAGGCAAGAAGTAGTCCGGATTTCTTGATTCTCTTGATATTGAAAAATATAAAATAAACAATGGAAATCAAAGAACGAAGTTGTAATGAATACACCGTATTCCAGAAGAAACAAAAACAAAGCTTGTACTGTATGTTAACTCGCTCGTTTAGATCGAAGTGTCTCCATGCTATAAGAGAATAATAGACTAAGAATAACTCTAATCTGGTCAATATGGTTTTGCTTTTACAGTTACACGTTTTCGGGTGTTACCTTAGAATATCGATTACCTTTTTCTTTCTTTTATTTCATAAAATACGGCTGGGTTTCGGGATTGCGAGAATGGACTACGAATATCAGATTGAGATATTTATAGGACTCTTAGCTACTACAGTTGGGAGACTTACTACTTTTTGGACCATTTTTTTAAGAAAACTTTGGCCTACATTTCGAAGAATTTTGCTTTACTTTTTATAAAATCTATCTGGCAGCGTGTGAGGTTCTCACCAGACACGTGCTGTTTACCTGCAATTTATTTATAACATTATTATTATTAATTATTAACAGGGCTGTGGAGTCGGAGTCGGAGTCGTTTTTGGTGTTTTAGCCGGAGTCGGAGTCGGAGTCGGATGATAAGGAAAAGTAGGAGTCGGAGTCGGATGATAAGGAAAAGTTGGAGTCGGAGTCGGAGTTGGAGTCGGTAGATTTTTACGCGACTCTACAGCCCTGGCAGGGCTGTGGAGTCGGAGTCGGAGTCGTGGAGTTTTGGTGTTTTAGCCGGAGTCGGAGTCGGTAGATTTTTATGCGACTCTACAGCCCTGGCAGGGCTGTGGAGTCGGAGTCGTGGAGTTTTGGTGTTTTAGCCGGAGTCGGAGTCGGATTGGTAAGGAAAAGTCGGGGTCGGAGTTGGAGTCGGTAGATTTTTACGCGACTCCACAGCCCTGATTATTAATTAACGAAAATAGAGTTCTGTATAAGTAGCCGTATTCCGTTTGCTTAATAAATTACATCGGTTACGTGGCATTTGGCATATTGTATAGAAATGTGTAAATCTCGGATAATTCGAAGTCGCGATTATTTCGTCCCTCGAATTTCGAATGAATGAGGATTTTCTGTAATAGAATATGCAAGAAGCTTTCTGAAGACAAAATGCGACCTCTTTTGTGTTTAGCGTTTCTATCGGCCAACATTAGTAACTACAACGAGATTACCTACACCAAAAATACCAGATTGCGGGGTTAAATGTGATACCTAATGCACTCGGTTATATCTCGCAAGCAACTATATGCAAGTAACTCAGTGAGACTTACTTTATACAGGGTGTCAAAATGTTTCCATACATACAAAAGTGAAAAGTAACTTTTTTCACAAAACAATTAAATGTCAGCATTAAGATTCGTGTCAGTGGATTGACAGAGTAAGCAACGGAACATATAGGACAGAGTAAGCCAAGGAACATATGCGACAGAGTAAGCAATGGAACATCTGCCAATGGGGTAACTTCTAGCAGGATTTCCTATGTGGAAACTGGATTCTGTTTAGGTGTTAGACACATCGTGGCCAGCCCGTTGGTCAGGCACGAACCAATGATACCAACTACCAGTGTTCAATGGTGTTATTTA